CTCCTTCAACTCGAAAACGTTTCCCCCCCCCCCCCCCCCCCCCTCTCACCGTTGCGAATGTAGACGTCCCTAGCCCCCCTGTCGAGCACCACCGCCCGTGCCCAGCAACGAGGGTACCCGAAGTCGGCGTTCTGTAGTCGAACGCGTGCCGCAACGGCGGCTTGCAGAGCGAGTCCGAGCTGCACACACGGCTCTGGTCCTGGGGGAGGAGCGCGAAGCCGAGGCGAACTTCGCGAGAGAACCCGGGTTCCTGCATGTAGGAGCGGGAGCGAAGCAGGAGCGTCCTCAGAATGAAAAGAGCACTGCTGTTGTTGTGAAAGGTGGGTGTTGAGCCACGCAGTTGTCAAAAGGCGCTCTTACTCTTCTTGAACACGGCCCGATCGACCATTACTGAGCCAGTCGAAGCGCTGGCCAGCTTTTTTCTTTCCATTTACTCATGCAGGCCGCCGCATGTAAGCAATAATGAGTATAATAAATAAAAAGAGCAACGCATCGATGGTCCCACGTAAAGCTGCGGCCTTGGGCCGGCTGCATGTTCCGACGCGAGGCTTTCCTCCTAAACTTTTGGAGGTTTGGAAGCCTCCCCGGGAGAGAAATAGATCGACAACTTCCGTCCGTGTTCCTCACATGTTCCCCCCTAGGCTCAGGTGAAAAAAATGCTGTGCATGGCATAATCACGCTCAAGATTCCTTCGTGAGCACAGCAAAGCTACGCAAAGATGAGTTTGGGTTAGACTAAAGCGTCTCTGCCTCTCGTTACTGAGAGGTTTCGCGCTACCAGAAGCGCTGAAAATGATCTGGTTGACCTCGCCAGCTGAAAAATTAATAAAAAAACTTCCTGGTTGCAAAACGTTGAGTAATAAACCCAAATACTTCGAAGTATATATACAAAAGCCACAAAAAAATGGAGGTGCGACACACACAAAAAAAAAAAAGTGCAAGTTGTATGAGCACTGAGCATTGCTTGTCCGCCCGACCTGGTCTTTCAAGTGATCTTTGTTCACGTGCTCCACGAACACGCTCAGGTTCCCGTAGCTCTCCGAGCTGTTCCCGTTCGGCATGATCATGAGCCTCCACTCCCACCCCTTCCTGTCGGTTACCTGCGGCGC